AAAAAAAAAAAAAAAAGCTATCTGTGTATGGTGGCGAGGACTAATAGTCCTAACCTCCTGGAGGGTGAAACAGGAGGTTTGCTTGTGGCGGTAGTGAGCTATGATTGTGCCACCATATTCCCACCTGGGTAGAACAGTGAGACCCTGTCTTGAAAATAAATTAGATCTCTCTCTTCTCTGGTATCTAAATGTTCTCCCTGCTCTATCAGGAAAGACAAATTGATTGATTAAAACTCAGCGGCCAGGTTAGGTGGCTCATACCTGTAATCCTAGCACTTTAGGAGGCTGAGGTGGGAGGATCTCTTTAAGTCAGGAGTTCTAAGACCAGCGGGAGCAGAAAATGGGAACCTCATCTCTACCAAAAAAATAAAAAAAATTAGTAGGGCATTGTGACAAGTGCCTGGGAGGCTGAGTCAGGATGATCCCTTGAGCCCAGGAGTTTGAGGTTGCTGTGAGCTATGATGATACCATTTCACTTTAGCCTGGGTAACAGAGGGAGACTGTCTCAAAAAGAAAAAAACCAGGCTGGGCATCGTGGCTCACTCCTGTGATCCTAGCACTCTGGGAAGCAGAGGTGGGTGGATTGCTTGAGTTACTAGTTTGAGAGCAGCCTGAGCAAAAGCGAGATCCCATCTCTACTAAAAATAGAAAAAATGAGGCAAGAGGATTGCTTGAGCCTGAGTTTGAGGTTGCTGTGAGCTATGATGCCATGGCCCTCTACCCAGGGCAACAGCTTGAGACTCTCAAAACAAAACAAAACAAAACAAAAAAGCTCCAAACCAAAATACTCTGAACATACTGTATATTCCTAATGTAGAAAAACAACATAGGCGTGGCACCTGTAGTTCAGCGGGTGCCAGTCACATACACCGGAGGTGGAGGTTTGAACCCAGACCGGGCCTGCCAAACAGTGACAACTGCAACAAAAAAATAGCTGGGCAGGTGGCTGGCATCTGTAGTCTCAGCTTTTGGGAGGCTGAGCCAAGAGAATTTCTTAAGCCCAAGGGTTTGAGGTTGCTGTGAGCTGTGATGCCCTGGCACTCTACTGAGGGTGACATAGTGAGATTCTGTCACAAACAAACAAACAAACAAATAAACAAACAAAAAAACAGTGTGGCCAGGCATGGTGGCTTACATCTGTAATCCTAGCACTCTGGGAGGCCAAGGTGGGTGGACTGCTTGAGCTCAAGAGTTCAAGACCAGCCCGAGCAAAAATCGAGACCCCCCATCTCTACTAAAAATAGAAAAACTGAGGCAGGAGGATCGGTTGAGCCCAAGAGTTTGAGGTTGCTGTGAGCTATGACGCCATGGGACTCTTTCCGGGGTAACAGCTTGAGACTCTGTCTCAAAAAAAAAGACAGAAAGCAACAGTGAACTATCCATCCACAATTAAAGTCTTCACTATGTTTTTGTAATTCTACAACATGAATCCTATAAAAACACATAACTTTAGCAAATATTTAGAAATATATACAAAGATACTCTCTTAGCTCTAGTTTGAGCTTCACAAAAGTGGCTACAGTCTGAACGATGTACAGAAAATTAAAATTAGCCCAGTGTGTTGTGTGCAGCTGTAGTCTTGGCTAGTTGGGAGGTTGAGGCAGTAGGATCACTTAAGCCCAAGAGTCTGAAGTGCTGTAAGGTGGGCTGATGCCATGGCATCCCAGTGTGGGTGACAGAGTAAGACTGTCTCTAAAACAAAACTTGCTCGGACAGAGTGTGTGTATATTCCTTTGGCCCCAGCGGTCTCTGTATTACTGACCTCAAGTCCTATAAAACTGCTCCTGCCACCAGTTTCCTTCCTTAGAGTCTTCACTTCCTTCAGATTTCACATTTCCCATGTCCTCATTGTCCAGTTTCTTTTTTGCTGTTTTTTCTTTCTTTCTTTCTTTTTTTTTTTAAGAGACAGAGTCTCACTTTATTGCCCTTAGTAGAGTGCCGTGGAGTCACAGCTCACAGCAACCTCCAACTCCTAGGCTTAGGCAATTCTCCTGCCTCAGCCTCCCAAGTAGCTGGGACTACAGGTGCCCACCACAATGCCTAGTTATTTTTTGTTGCATTTTGACCGGGGCCGGGTTTGAACCTGCCATCCTCGGTATATAGGCCTGGTGCCCTACTCACTGAGCCACAGGTGCCACCTGCTGTTTTTTTCTTTTTTGTTTTTCTTTTATTTTTGAGACAGTCTCACTCTGTCACCCCAGGTAGAGTGCTGTGGCATCACAGCTCACAACAACCTCAAAATTCTGGCACAAGGGATCCTCCTGCCTCAGCCTCCTGAGTAGTTGGGTCTATAAGCACCTGCCACTATGCCCAGCTAAATTTACAGATCGAGTCTTGCTCTTGTTCAGGCTGCTTTTTTTTTTTTTTTTTT